ATTTGGTTTTAGATCGTGTAGAAATTTTTATCCAGAATAAAATTCTTTGTTCAGTCAACAATAAAAACGTTTTTCATATAAATAAGGTGCTTTTTGCGACACACTGTATACTGATAGTTTTGGGGTATTAATAATAATAAAAACAAAACTTACCACTATGTTTGTCGAAAATATCATGGTATTTTTCTGCCACGCTGGTAACTATGTTATGTTATGTTGATAATGGGGTGTTAATACACTGCGACCTAAAAGATCTATTGTGCCCCCTTCTGTCGCCACTGCACTAAGGAAATGTCTCAATGCCTATAGCGACCCTTCCAATCCTATTTTCTCAAGGAAGTGTAGGATTTGAAGTGGCTTCAAGTTAGGTAAGTTTCCCTCTTCTATTTGATATCCTCCTAGATATAGTGCCCTTGGATTCTGGAGTGCTACACATTAAGTTAGGATGTGAATGGAGGTTTCATCCTCCTCCTCACAGAATCTGCACTCACTATCCTCTACTACTCTCAGTTTACTTAGGTGTCCTTTTAGTCGGCAGTGCCCGGTAAGGATCCCTGTTACAATACGTAGCCTGTTCTTGCTCAGGCAGATGCAGGCATCCGATCTTTTTTTGGTTATATTCACCCAGAAGTATCTTGGCCTGTCTCAGCCCCAAGAGATTGTTCCAATTATCGGTTCTTCTACTACCCAATTCTTTTTTAATCTCTTCTAATATTATGTTACTGCTGATACCGCAGCTGATACCTACAAAGGGTGTTTGAGCCCCTTTCCTTGCAAGACTATCTGCAATCTCGTTACCCTGTACCCCGTTATGTCCCGGGACTCAAGTGAGAGTAACTCTATTTTTCTCGCCTAGCTCATTCAATTGTTCTAGGCATCTCCATACCATTTTTGAGCTGATTACGTAAGAACTCAGCGCTTTGATGGCTGCTTGACTATCGGACATGATGATAATCTCTTGTCTATGATAGTTTCTCCCGATGTTAAACTGGATACACTTCTCGATGGCGTGAATTTCCGCCTGGAAGATGCTTGGCTATTTTCCCAAGCTTTCGGAGTGCTTGGTTCTCGGCCCATACACTCCTATTCCAGTTCCTTCTATGGTTTTGGAACCGTCCGTGTACCACTGAATAGCACGTCTTTCGGTTGCAAGCGCGATGGATTCTTGGCTCCATTCTTTCTTGCAGCCCAGCTCTGTGGTTTTGAAGTTTTTCAAAAACTGTACTTCTTTTGCATTTCATCCTGGGGCATGTCCCAGGTATCTTTAGTCCTGAAGCAAGTAGACTTTCGTCTGATTACTCCGCTCCTGATCATTCTATATCGTGTCCTTTTTGCCACATTCTCTATCATCAAATGTAGAGGGGTGAGGTTTAAGATCACCTCCATTGCGGCCGTAGGACAGGTTCTCATTGCACCAGTAATGCAAACACAGGCTAGTCTTTGTACTTTTGAGATATTAGCTTTCGTAGTAACTAAACTAGTTCTGTTACTCCAGGCTATAGCCCCGTAAGTGATGATTGGTCTCACTATTGCAGTATACATCCATCGCAGTATGTTTGGGTTACATCCCCATCGTTTACCCGCCATATTTCTGCATACCATTAGGGCTTTTGTGGCCTTATTTACTACTTCCTTCTCATGTGTGTTCCAGAGAAGTTTGTTGTCCAGGGTTAGGCCTAGACTTTTTTATATGTTTTTACTATAAAAAACAAAAAAAGTCTGTTATCATTGCCTATAGTAATATGTTTCCTATTCTCAAAAATAAGGGCCGAATGGATATTTTTTACATACCTCTTATATGGTAAACATTTGTAAACATTTAAAAAATGTATCTTGTTTATATTTGGTTTTAGATCGTGTAGAAATTTTTATCCAGAATAAAATTCTTTGTTCAGTCAACAATAAAAACCTTTTTCATATAAATAAGGTGCTTTTTGCGACACACTGTATACTGATAGTTTTGGGGTATTAATAATAATAAAAACAAAACTTACCACTATGTTTGTCGAAAATATCATGGTATTTTTCTGCCACGCTGGTAACTAGGTGAGCCATGGTGATATATCTGCAACGAAAAAACTATTATAAATGATATTTTGTTTACCGTTATTTTTTTAATAATTATTTTTTTTAAATATCTAATTGCATCATTAGTAAATGCTAAGTATGTTATTAAACTAATTTAGCTCTACTTGTTTGTACGCGATTTTTTTTTAGCAAAATTCATATTTTTTTTAGTGCAGGCCTGTTACAAATAAAGAATACAGGTGTGTATCTCAAAAAAAAGTTGATGATGATCATTTAAAGACGAAATGTTTTATGGTGAACAGAGGAAATAAACAAACTGTGAATTTGTTTTCTATTGCATAAATAAAAGCAACAAAGTTTTATGCCAAAATTCATATTATCAGACTATTGGGATCTGAAGATAAACGATACGCCCTCTACTGTGAAAAAATGAACTAAATATACTGGTCATTTGACATTTGACGTTCTGTCAGGTTTTGTTTATAAAAAGTCATGTCAATAAATGTTGTTTTAAAATTTAACACGTATTTTATTTAATAATAAGCTATGGATAGTTTTTATTACTAAACATGTTTTAAAAAATTGTAAAAATAACTAAATAAAGTTATATAAATGAAATTAATTGTTTACTAGACCTAAAGTTGTTCCTCAGAGGTGCAATTTAACTTTTAACTTGGGTGTTCAAGACCAATTGGAAAAATTTTAAAATATTGAGGAACCTATCCAATTGGAATCAGTGGAAATGAGGAAAGACGATTTGGAATATGAAAAGATTTGCATAAACACTACAAGAAGATTAGAAGATGGTAAATTTTTTATTTATTACGTTACATACAAGAAGTGAGTTTCTGTGGATCTCTGTAACATGGAGACGATTATTAAACCCACTGAGAATTTTCTTAAGCAATTTGTGTAAGATTTAGTTAAACTTCTACTATGCAAAAAGATTTTTACAATCAGATTAAAACAAATTTAATAATGGGAGAAGCACTTATCACTTGTGATTTTGCCGAAAATTATTTTTTTGTCTTACAGGATGAGGTCCAATCATACCATTGGACTACCAGTCACTTCATCCATTTGTAACATACACAACACACATCGCCAAAATTCTTGGACTCCCTTATGTTTGTCAAAATGAGACACTATTACTAAAAGTCAAGAAGTGTAATTAATACCTTTATCAAATCAGTAGCAAACGATGGAGCACCTGCCATGGTTGGGCGCTACAGTGGATTTGTAAGCCACTCTTAAAAGCACCCCCCACTAAAAAACGTTTATTGTTACTTATTGATTTTATGTAATACATAGATATTTAATCATATTTTGGTTTGTTTCATTAATAAATATATATAAAAAAAAATTTATTGTTTTATTTTTCATTCTTCAATACCTCACTTCAGTCAAAAAACATTTGTTTTGTTGAAGAAAAATTTTATTTTATTGCCAACAAATACGTTCAATGTTAAATCAATTCACGTGTTTCAGCATTTTTTTTAAGTTTCTGGTTGAACAGATAATAATTTTATTCCGGAGTATATGAAACAAACGAACCAAAATATTAAATAATTGAATAATAATTATAAAAGCTGTTTATTTCTAGAATCATATCTACAAGTAAATTAAATAGTCCAGTCTTGATCATAAATATGTTCTATTTATATTATTAATAGTAATCAAGTAAACATCAATAGTACCATTTCATATTAGTACCTGAAAATAATTATTTATAATAATTTTTCGCAGAACAAATGTTTATTGTTCAAGATCAATTTAATTACAAATTATACAGTTTGATGATTTTAAATATTTTTACAAATATAAGGCCCAATAATAAATATTTTTTGGGGTTGATTGTATTGGACTTTAAAGGTATAAAGTCTCTAATTCAAAAATTATTTTATTTTTAAACATTTTAGTTCGTTCCATCAATTATACCGTTAAAATACGTTAAAATAAGAGTGATCAATTTTAAATGTAAATGCACAGCTTATTAACTGCTCTAAAGAGATGGGGTTTTCACTAATTTTTAGACTGGGAAAGAAGTCCACACTCAGTGGTTAAATGATTGGGTTGAATTGAGGAATTGAGTACTCAAGTGTGTATATATAAATGTTTAATACAATTTGGCTAGCGCTTTCGATAAAACATTGTCATCTTCAGGCCGTCCTACAAAGTTTAAAATTTAATACGAGAAGTAAGGGTGAAAGAATTACCTTACGTCAATAGATATCTATCCAGAGTTAAAATTGAATAAAAATACATGGGTTAAAACATTGAATACATTTTTGAAAAAGGGGTTTTGAAAATTAGCAAAACACATCCTTATATTTCGTATTTTACAAATAAATTATCAATTAAAAAGTTTTAAATTTTAACGGTACATCGTACCTATTAGACAGTGGACAAATGACACATAGACTGACACATGAAATAGGCGTAAGGAGGGCGTGTTCGACATTGGTTTTGGAGTTAACCGATCCATGTGATCTATACTTATTCAAAAATGATACAATGGTTGAAAAGTTGGAAAGGGTATAATAAGTTTCTGCAGGGCATGATCCACACAGCGATCCAGAGAGACTTATTATAATGATTTGGGGGAACTATTGTAGATTCGAATTTTTAGAGTAGAGGAAGGACAATGACTCTAGATCCATACCAGGCCAGAGAACTTGTAAGTGATAGACGTGACTAGACCATGATCCATACATGGCTATTAGTCGAAGAGTAAAGGGTAAATTAGAAAAAAGATAAGAATAGAGAGAGAATTTTGCCAAAACCAATAGCTGGTCCTCCTGATTAGTTACCTAGTGAATTTAACAATTATGAAATTTAGAAATAACTGAAAAGTGAATTAATTACAATTTAAAGATGTTAATAAGTTAGGGGTTTATGATTATTAATGGATTTAATATTTTAATTGAAATGGTGAGATTCCCAGAGGGCTTTAAATAATGGATTATAATTACAATTTAGGTGAATTTGAGTGTTTAAACAATGATCGGGATTCAAGTTCATTTCACGAAGGATCTCCAAATCCTCCAGAAGGTCCATCTTCCTAAAGTTGTTGACTGGAACACTATGTAAAATTTTGCTGTTTGATGTAGGAGAGAAGCTATGATTATTAAATTTAATGTGATGTCCAAAATTAGATTTTTCAGGTCTCGATAAGTGTTCCTTGATACGTGTCTCTAGAGGCCTGATGGTTCTACCCACGGGGGTTTATAGCATATGCGCATTTTGTCAACAAGTTACTGCGCATCGAAACTGGCGTACGTCCGTTTTACAATAACACAATTATATATAAAATATAAAGAAAACAGAATAATTACAAAATATATCAATAAAAATGTGTTATTAACTTGCCAAAAGTAATAGTTTCACATTTTTTTTATTTATCAATCGTAAAATTGAAAAAATATGAATTTATTTAATTATTTGTGCAATGTAAACCTGGCTTTGGATAACAAAACCCAAATCTCGTTAATGCTCGAGTCGACTCGATAAACGAAACCCGAATGATACAAAATACAATATGGCTGTTGATGTAAACAATTCTAAGTGAGTTTTACTTTTATTTAATACAGTTTTAGGCATAAATTTAGTAATAATTTACTGTAAGTAAACTTATTTTGATACTTTTGCATGTCTATGTCCTATAAATGCATAGGTATATTTGATTGTAATAGTAAATTGTTCTGGCCCATTTACACTGTTTTAGAAAAAACATTTTCATTTTATTGTCAACTGAAAAAAGGATTATTATTCGTATTCGTAATTGTGTTATCCCCAAATATTGAAATCCTTAACAAAGTTTTAATTCTGATATTCATTTTGATAATTATCCTAGATATGCCAATTTAATTGTATATATTATAACCAAACTTTTTAATCTTTATAAATCTAAAGTATTTTCATTACATATAGCAAGAACATCTTAATTAGACATAGAAATTAGAAGTAGTAAATTAAAAATTAGTTAAATCGCTGCAAATTCAAAAGTAATTAGTCACATACAATCAAAATCATGTGCTTTGGGAAGTATTTCGCTTTCAACAATTGTTTTTTTTTCTTTTTTTTTCAGGATTCATGGATGGAACTCTTGTTTTATTTCGCACGATTAGAGAAAAATTTTGTTCGTTTTGTGTTATTTAAAATAGTTGTTTATTCAGAAAATATATATTATGTTTATTGTTGTAACCAATAAAGATTCAACAAATAATATTTAGTTATAATACAATTTTGTATTATTTATTTTATACCTCTAAAATTATTTAACATAAAATTTTACATTTGATGCGTGTTAAAAAAATGCTATTAAAAATGTAAAATTCTTATATTTTGTCGAAGTAAATTCAAAAGCCCGCCAATTTTCAAATTAAAATAGCATTACAGCTTTTTATATTACCGACTGAGTATTAGTTGCACAAAACTATCCCACATGTCGCTGAAGGCAAACATGTGTTGCCATATTTATACAAAGAAACGGCAACTCTTAATTATCCTTCCTCCATGGTTCTACCTATATAAGTAGCTTCGCAGCTATTGCAATGTAATTTGTAAGTGGCATTAGTCTGATGAAGCAACCTTTTACATTAGTGGAATCTGTAACAAACAAAATTGCAGAATATGGGGTTCTGAAAACCCCACTTCTTTTAATGAATTTGAAAGAGATAGTCCAAAAGATAACGTTTTGTGTGGGTTGTCCCCTAGAACAATCTATGGTCTATGGTCTACGGAACCAACTGTGACAGGTACAAATTACACGGATATGTTGGAACAGTTTTTTTATCCACAATTAGTTCAACCTCATTTTTCAATGATAGCACGAGATTCGTTAAATAATTTGTTTAATCAAAAGTGGATAGGTCGAGCTGGACCGATTGAGTGATCACCGCGATCTCCTGAGCTAACTGTCCCAGATTTTTTTCTCTGAGTATATGTGAAGGATAAATGCTACAGTCCTAAGCCTAACAACGTAGAAGAACTAAAAGATAACATTAGGAACATTATCGAAAATATTCCGCCAGATGTTAGAAAAATCGTTTAAAAATTAAATTTTTTTTAACAGTTTAGACACATACAGCATTTATTGTAACTTTTACATCCTCATTATAAATGTTTGTTTTCTAATTTTTAATAAATTTTTGTTATGTTTTGTTACTGAATAAATTCTTTTTGTTAATTGTATTTAATGTCACTTTTTAAATAAATAAAACAGCAATGTTACTTAAAAACTCGAAAATCTGTGTTGTTAAGAAAACAAAAGATATCAAACTATACATTTTTAAAAAGTAGATGAATCTCTCTTTTAAATAATACATATTTTTTCCATTCAAGTTGACCAACATTAATGGATCACCCTGTATTGATGTGATAAAATGTGAACAAACTTGAAAAAAAAAAAACTGTTGGATAAACGAAATCAATTAGTGGAAACCCCATCTCTTCAGAGCAATTAATAAGCTGTGCATTTACATTTAAAATCGATCACTCTTATTTGGGACACCCTGTATTTTAACGGTATAATTGATGGAACGAATTAATAATAATAATGAAAATATTATTTGTTATGGAATTAATTATTCAATAACGTCACATTTAGGGCTGCCAGATGGACACGCCCCTGGTTGCATTCGCCCTTAAATTATACCATCATAAAATAATCAAGAGTCTGGTTTACTGAAAATCAAATACATATATCTCAGCTTTTATACTGTTATAATAATTATCAGAATGAAATGAAAGGATCCCGCCCTTTCCTAATGGCAAAGTGGCGTTCCGTCAAATGTAATAAATTTTGAATATCATGTACTCGACTTGTTGACCAAAAGTGTTCATGGGACCAATTCAATCCTATGACTAGTTTTTAAAATACAAAATCGTATTTCTTGAAACTACGTAACTTAATTAAAAAGAAAAAAATAAGTATTTTTAGTTGATTGTAGCATTAATATGTCCTAGTCTAACGCTAACGTACACATAAATAGTTCAAAATGTAAACATATACAGGGTGGTACTTAGTTACATCAGGGGGAATTTTTGAAATTCTGAGAGATTCTGATATGGAATGAAAACATGATCAAAAATAAAAACTTACATAATGTTTACTGTTCTGACATTATATAAACCCATTTTACATCATATGTATACAGGGTGATTGTTAACTCATTCCACAGAAAGGCGTCTCTTAAAAAAAAATTACACTCTGTATATCAGGAAATTTGTTATTAATATTGATTATGCATTTAATACCTAGCAAACAATACTTTTTATGGAATACAGGGTGATAGACACATCTAGTTCGTTTTTGATGCAGCAATAATTAAAGAAATATCCCTTTTTCAGAATCACCCTATATTTTTTAATTCGATCCGTCAAAGTGTACGATCTATTTATTTTTGTTATTAGCTTTAAGCAATTAATAACTTCATATAATTTCATAATTTTAGTATGATCCGTTTTTGAGATTCCAATATATAGTGAAATACGATTTCTCAACTTTAACACCCTGTATTTTAAAACTAGTCATAGGATTAAATTGGTCCCATGAACACTTTTGATCAACAAGTCGAGTACAACATCATATTCAAAATTTATTATATTTGACGGAACGCCACTTTGCCATTAGAAAAGGGCGGGGTCCTTTAGATGGGAGTTATAATGATATGTGGGCTACTTAAGGTTACGCTTAACCCCATGGTTCTTTAATATGCTCACATATAACGCTAGCATACTCATTTATGTGATAATTGTAGTTCAAAATATTGAATTATTTGTTTTTTAAGAATTCTTCAACTTTGTTGACAAAACGACTGTAGACTGTTTATTTGGGGGTGACACGTGAGGTCTAGGTGAGAAATATATTTTTAATTCCTGAATAAATAAAAATTGAATATTCTGTTTTATCTGAGGATAAAATATATTAAGTTAAATATATATTTTGTCACACCTTTGCCTGATTTGTTAATTAAATAAAAAATGTCAAGGTTACTAAGTGTGCGTATTCTTCTTAGTCAAAAATTAAGTAATATTATTAATGAAAATAGTCAGTCATCATCTCAAAGTTCGGAAGGATATTTCAGAAGAATGCTACTAGTGGTTGCGAAACGTTTTTTACCAAGGTTAATTATTTTTATTATCTTTATGTCTAATTTGTTTGCCAATTCGGTGACACCATTAAAATACCTTCATTATAGATTGATAAAGAAGCATGTGTAGAATTGTATTAATTTTGAAAAAAGGGTAAAAATGGTAATAATTATTATAAAAAAATTAAAAACAGTAATATGTCTGAGAAACAGTATTATAATAACAATGATGAAATCAAAAGGTGTGTGAGTATTGAATGATTTAGAAATAATTTGTTTATCTAGAGCGGTTAATCGTATTAAGGATAAATCCGCATTTCAATATAGGGTGATTTTAAATTAAATATCAATGAACCGAGAAATTTAAAATCATTACCGTTTCACCAAGACTGATTGTATATTGTCTGTGGTGTCCACTAAGACGCCACTGGACCCAATAATTTCAATCTAGTTAACCTAACTATAGTCTATTTTTATGTATGAGAGAGTATTAAAATAATAAAGCGTTCGTAATCCATAGTCTTTTAGTAGACAGTTAAAATATTTTTTGAAGTTATTCCTCGAGTATACATTTATATTTTCACCTAATTAACCTGCTTATAACTTCTAAACAGCTGAAGGTAAAAAAGTGCAATTTTTTCTAAAATGTTTTATTTTTCCACAAGGTATGTTAAGAACATTGTGTCAAACGGGTTATGTAGGTATAAGGGTTTAAACTTTGACTTTTAAACAACGTTACGTTCATAAATAATACTTTTAATATAAAAACTACTTCTTACCTACAAATCCAAATCAGAATCGAAATCAGAAGATGAACTGTCGCAACCAATATTTACAATGAGTGGCTCGATCATTTCATCAGTAATATTGTCCAACTTCCACATTTTCTCTTCTTCTTTAATGGTATTATTTACTGCTTTTTCCCAGTTTTCAGGCTTCACATTATTTACAGCCTCCAAAAACAACTGTTTAACATCACTCATTTTAAAAGAATTAATTTTTCTTGAAACTTCTCCCTTTATCT